TTTTTATCTGTTTATTAATTCAGCAAATTTTATCTGTTTATTAGACACAGCAACCCCATTTTTTCCGATTGTCTTGTTATCTTTCTGCTTCTTACTTTGACTTAGTTAACAGCTTAGTTCTATTAGTTCACATTATCTTTGTTAAAAATTTTGTTAGAAATTATTGCAATATTGTAGTTCACCTTTATTTAGCTACCTACTACTATTTTAATAATTTGTGCATTTTCCTTTTACTGTTTTAATTAATTAATTAATTAATTTTTAAAAAATCATTTTAAGGTTTTATTACAACCTTTTAACGCTCCTTTGTTACGAGTGGGGCCTCACCAGTTGTAGCGGTGACAACCCCCTTCTCTGTTTGTCTTCGTGGTGTTTTGTGTGTATTTTAGGTTATGGACTCTAGCTATTATCGGTGAGTGGGATGCACGTGTGCAAGCAAAAGGAACAACCCCGACAAGGGTCAGAAGGAGTTGGATGCAAACGTGCTAGGTGGACGCAACTTCGTCGTTTATACCAAGACAATTCCCAGGTTCTACTCGCGGGAGTTGATACCTCCCGTTTTTCATTTTCCCCTTTATTGTGTTAGTTAAGTTGTTGCAATCATAGTTCCTATTAGTTTATCCATTGTACTAGTGCACTTATAGTTGTAGCCTGTCTTTGCCTATCATGGCCAGTTGATTTGTGTGTGTTAGTGATTCCCCTTAGTCTGTTGTAGGCATAGTAGTTGTGGTCTGGGATGGTTGAGTGAGGTCATGTCCTCGGGGGTTGGGGCAGGAGGTAGGGAAGGGGTTAGGGGGTAGGTCGGGAGGCAAGGGAGGTAAAGGGAACAGGGGTGCCTATAGGTTAAGAATCGGGTCATGGAACGTAGGTACATTGACGGGTAATTTTATAGAGTTAGCAAAGATTCTCCAGAAGAGGAGGGTCAACATAGCATGTGTCCAGGAGACAAGGTGGATAGGGTCGAGTGCGAAGGATGCAGACGGGTATAAACTTTGGTACTTATGAGTCGAGAGGTAAGAATGGAGTGGGTTAGTGGATAGGGAACTTAGAGAGTCTGTGGTTGAAGTTAGACGAGTGAATGATAAATTTATGGTTATTAAGTTGGTGGTTGGAGAGTACACCCTGAACGTCATTAGTGCTTATGCTCCATATGTGGGCCTAGATGAAGAGGTTAAACGGCGCTTCTAGGAGGGGATAGATGAGATTGTGTGCCAGGTTCCGCCTGTCGAGAAACTATTCATAGGAAAGGATTTCAATGGTCATATTAGGGCGAGCACAGGTGGTTATGGCGAGGTGCGTGGAGGATTTGGTTTTGGGGAGAGGAACAGAGGAGGTACCATGCTGCTGGACTTCGCTAAGGCTTTCAGGTTAGTGATTGAGAACTCTAGATTTCCGTAGAGGAAGGAGCATTTGGTTACTTTTCAAAATGTGGTAGCGAAGACTCAGATTGACTATCTCCTCCTCAGGAGGTGTGACAGCGGGTTGTGCAAGGATTGCAAGGTGATTCCGAGTGAGACACTCGCGACGCAGCATAGACTTTTGGTGATAGACATTAGTATTAGGTTAGAGATGAGGAAACGCTCTGCTCGGGGATCACCGAGAATCAGATGGGGAGCCCTGACTAAGGATAAAGCCCAAGAGTTGGAGTGGCGGTTGTCGGATATGGGATCTTGGAGGAGCAGTGGGGACGCAAATACTATGTGGTCAGCAACAACAGACTATATAAGGACATCTCCGAGAGAGGTGTTAGGGGTCATGACCGGTGTCTCTGGTAGGCATAAAGGATACTGGCGGTGGAATGAAGTAGTCCAAGGTAAAGTGGAAGCAAAGAAGGCGTCATACCTGAAGTTAGTGGGGAGCATAGGTGAGGAGGAGAGGCGAGCATGCATGGAGATATATAAGGTAGCTAGGAAGGAAGTTAAGCTGTCAGTCCTAGAGGCTAAGACTGCGTCTTATGGTCATATGTACGAGGAACTGGGGGAAAGGGCGGGGAGAAGAAGTTATTTCGGCTGGCCAAGTTGAGAGAGAGGAATGCTCGAGATTTGGACCAAGTGCGATGCATTAATGACGAAGATGGTAGGATACTAATGGAAGATTCCCAGATTAAGAGGAGATGACAGACTTACTTCCATAAACTTCTGAACGAAAAAGGGGATCGGGATATTATGCTAGGCGAATTGGAGCATTCTGATCGTGGGGGCTATGCGTAAGATGAGTATAGGCAGAGCAACCAGACCAGACGAGATCCCAGTGGAATTTTGGAAGTGTGTAGGGAGAGTAGGTTTGGAGTGGTTGATTGGGCTGTTTAATGTTATTTTTAAGGTAAAGAGGATTCCAGATGAGTGGAGGTGGAGTACGGTAGTTCCATTGTATAAGAACAAAGGTGATATCTAGAGTTGTAACAATTATAGGGGTATCAAATTACTGAGTCATACCATGAAAGTATGAGAGAGGGTTGTTGAAGCGAGGGTGAGGATGAAAGTGTCTATATCAGACAACTAATTCGGGTTCATACCGGGTCGTTCAACCACAGAAGCTATACATCTTGTTAGGAGGTTGGTGGAGCTGTACAGGGAGAGAAAGAAGGATCTGCACATGGTGTTTATTGACCTAGAGAAAGCGTATGACAAGGTTCCTAGAGAAGTTCTTTGGAGATGCCTGAAGGTAAAAGGTGTGCCGGTTCCCTATATTATGGCGATTAGGGACATGTATGATCGGGCTAAGACTCGGGTTAGGACAGTAGGAGGCAACTCTGAGCATTTTCCGGTTGAAATGGGGTTACACCAAGGCTCTGCGCGTAGTCCGTTCTTATTCGCCTTGGTGATGGATGTGTTAACAAACCATATCCAAGGGAAGGAGCCATGGTGCATGCTATTTGCTGATGACATAGTTCTGATTGATGAGTCACGAACCGGTGTTAACGTACGACTGGAAGTTTGGAGACAGACTCTTGAGTCTAAAGGTTTCAAGCTGAGCAGAACGAAGACAAAATACTTGGAGTGTATTTTAAGCACTGAGCCGGGGGAAGTGGGCGTGGATGTGAGGCCTGAATCACAGGTTATCCCAACTTGAGACAGCTTCAAGTACCTTGGGTCGGTTATCCACAAGGGAGGGGAGATCGATGAAGATGTCGCACACCGTATCGGGGTAGGATGGATGAAGTGGAGGTTAGCATCCAAAGTTTTGTGTGATAAGAGAGTGCCGACAATATTCAATGGCAAGTTCTATAAAGCGGTAGTTAGACCGGCTATGATGTTTGGGGCTGAGTGTTGGCCTGTTAAGAACTCATATATCCAAAAGATGAAAGTAACATAAATGAGGATGTTGAGGTGGATGTGCGGGCACACTAGGATGGACAAGATTAGAAATGATAATATTCGGGAGAAGGTGCACGTGGCTCCCATTGATGACAAGATGCGGGAAGCGCGACTCAGATGGTTCGGGCATGTAATAAGGAGAAGCCCAGATGCTCCAGTAAGGAGGTGTGAGCAGCTGGTTGTGGAGGCCACGAGAAGAGGTAGAGGGCGGCCTAAGAAGTATTGGGGAGAAGTGATCAGGCAGGATATGGCAAAATTTCAGATTTCCGAGGACATAACACTTGATAGGAAGTTGTGGAGGTCGAGTATTAGGGTTGTAGACTAGGAGGTAGTTGAGTCTCGCGTTACTTTGTACCATTGTGAGCCTAGTCTGGTAAGGTTTTAGTCTAAAATAACTAGGGGCATTGCCATGTCTTAATACTTTCTCTTTTCGGTGCAAGATCTATTTACTAGCCATCATTTCTGCCTTGTATTTTTCTTCTGCAATTTATGTTCCTATTTTTCCTATGATCTCTGTGGTGAANATTGCCATGTCTTAATACTTTCTCTTTTCGGTGCAAGATCTATTTACTAGCCATCATTTCTGCCATTTATGTTCCTATTTTTCCTATGATCTCTATGGTGAAACTAATATTCTCTTCTTTTGTTTTACTTATTATCTTGAGCCGAGGGTCTTTCGGAAACAGCCTCTCTACGCCTTCAGGGTAGGGGTAAGGTCTGCGTACATACTACCTTCTCCAGACCCCACTTGTGGGATTTTACTGGGTTGTTGTTGTTATTATTGTGTAGGAATTTTTGTATGCTGGCAGGTGGTGTAACTTCTAAAACAGGCATTTTATGCCAAAATTAAAACCCAGAAAACCGACCAAAGTTGGTCGGTATTTAATTAAAAAAAAATTCTGCTGATTAGCGACCAAGGTTGGTCGTTTAAGTTTAAAAAAAAAATTTAAAATTACGACCAAAGTTGGTCGGTTAATGAACAAGGATTACCTAGATTTCAACTTTACCGACCAACTTTAATTTGGTCGATATGGTTAAATTTTATTTTTTTAAAAAAATATATATTTTATTTTACCGACCAACTTTGGTCACTAATTTTTAAATTTTAATAATTAATAAAATAACGTAATGTAAATACACCGACCAACTTTGGTCGGTATGTGCTTTAAATTGCATAGTTGGTCCTTTTACCTTTGCGACCAACCTTGATCGATAATTAGAGACCAACCTTGGTCGGTATACTAAAACGACCACCGACCAAGCTTTAGAATTTCACATTGTCTCCGGAAGGGAATCGAGTAATATGCAACGGACGTATTAGCAAAATGGAAATTTGAGGAACATGACACGATGATTTTGATCCTGGAGGTATGCCTAGTCAAGCTGTGGGTTGCTATAGATTTGACAAGATTCAAATCCTCACTTTCAAACATAGACTCATATTAAGATCACAAAATGGATACTTAAAATTGTTTTTTGAAAAAAATTGGCGAAATACAATGTGCTTACAAAAAGCATTACTCAAATAAATGGGCCAAACACATACTAATATTTTTAAAAAAAATACTTTTTGACTAAACATACTTTTCAAAATAATTAAATCGTTTTTGATAGCTTGGTTAAACAGGCTCTTGAGAAAATGGGAGAAAATAATCCACGTGGATTACAATAGAATGTGTTCTACCTTCTTATTACAAAAATGGATATACTCCAACTACATACGAGCTATCAAACAGAGTAACTCCACAATGACACCTCAACATCACTTTCCACATCATCATCCCAGCTGAAACAACTACCTAATAAACAAGGATTTGGTGAAAACAAACTCCTTTCTTCCATGTTTGCCTGCCATTCTTGCGTCCCTACCATTCCCACTTCACTACATGAGTAGTTGCTGTACAGAACATTTTCTGCAGTCACAATATTCTGCATGCAATTATACACTGCATTATCTTCTTCTGCTGCCGCCTTCATTTCCTCACTACCATTGCCAGTATTAGCTGCCACTCTAGAATTAACATCAGTTTCCTCTCCTGACCAGAACGGCTCTGCTGCTTTCGCAGCTGCATGGCGCAAGTCCTTGGGATCCTTTGATACCGGCACTGGCAACCGCCAAGCAGAGTCCGCGAAATTCAGAGTGGCCAGCGGCCCTCTAAGCGCCAATGCAGCTACGTCATGAGCGCGCGCAGCCATTTCTGCAGTTGGGTAACTTCCCAACCATATTCGCTTCTGTGTGCTGGGCTCACGCAGTTCGCAAACCCACTTGTCGTTGTTCCTCCTTCTCACTCCCCTGTACACTGGGTGCCGAGTTTCCTTGAACTTCTTCCTCCCCGCACGCTTCTTCGGTTTCCTTAACGCTAATATATTGATATCTTCTTCATCGGAAACTGCCACTCTAACTGAAGAGCATGAACTTGAATTATTCATCGTTGAACAAGGCTCCAAATTGCTGAGTTTCTTGTAGTTATATGTGCTAAGTACTGTTGTTGCCTGCTTGTTGCTGAGGTTTTAGGGTGTACGTTAAATCTGTAAAGCGTATATATAGATTTGGATTATGAAGAGAGAAGAAGGATCACGTGGATACATGGACACGCACACGGAAGTGAGTGAGCAGGTGAAACGAAATGGAAAATGTTTTATTTGTTGTGGGGCCTGCTTGACTGTGTCAATAAATAGATATTTACGGATTAAAAAAATACTTCTGGGGTTTTAGCCCACGTTGCAGAGATTGGATATAGTAGAAGAATGAGTCTTCTTATTCGTTTCTAATTTGGTTTGAGGAAACAAAGGTTTGGTCCACGTGTGAAACACGTATATGTGAACATTTTGAAGTACGAACTATTAGTTGATGTAATGTAATACCATGTCTTTATTTCATTTTACCTGGCATATTTTTCCTTTTTAATTTGATTTAAGAAAATAATGCATCACTTATAAAGAGATTAATTTAAAAAATTTATTTGTTTTTTATGACATACTCTTATACTTATAGAAATGTCAAAGCTTGTTAAAAACTTACAACAAAAACAACCCAGTAAAATCTCAGAGATGAGGAGTTTGGAGAGGGTCGTGTGTACGCAGACCTTATCCCTACCCCGATAGAGTAGAGAGGTTGTTTCCGATAGACCCCCGGCTCAAGAAAACGAAAAAGACGAAAAGAGACAATATATCGGTACCATTAACAGAAACCATAGAAATAATAACAGCATTATATGAACCAGAAAATGGTTGAAACACAATAACAATAACTAGTAAATAAGGCCCGGTGTTATAAAAAGCGAAGAATAGTGTGAACACAATATTAACTGCTAGCAGTCTAAGACAAACCCTATCAGACTAGCCTCACATCCGGAACGAAGTAGAAAAATGTTCAACTACCTCCTAACCTACAACCCTTATGCTCGGCCTCCACACCTTCCTATCAAGGGTCATATCCTCGAAAATTTAAAGCCACACCATGTCCTGCCTGATCACATCTTCCCAATACTTTTTAGGCCGCCCTCTACCTCTTCTCGTACACGCCAAAGCCAACCGCTCACACCTTCTTACAGGGACATCAGGTCTTCTCCTCCGCACATGCCCGAACCATCTAAGCCCCGCTTCCTGCATCTTGTCATCTATAGGAGCCACGCCCACCTTCTCCCAAATATCTTCATTCTTAATCTTATCCATCCTAGTGTGCCCGTATATCCATCTTGACTTCTGTGTACATCTTGTTAAATATCGCCTTGAAAAAAAACAGAGGAAGTAAGTTCTCTACGAATTTGTTAGATGGAAGGTTATAACTAATAAATTCTCAACAAATTTCCTCCCATTCAAGTCAAATTTTTATTACAAATAAAATAATTTAATTATAAGAGGTTAACTTTAGATGGTATTGATTGTTCATTCTTTTTTAAATTCATAAAAACTCCCTAGAAATACCTTGTTTTCTACATTAAAATTCATTGAAGCTTTAGAGAAAATAGCTCACATTGTACTTGGACTTAAGGTATTTAAAAGATTATTATCTGCACAAATCACACCAATCTCTTTCGGTTTATATGACACTTTTTTCTTTTTAGTATATTCTAAAGAATGAGACTTTTTATATAAGAAAATAAGCTATCTTTAAAATTTTATCTTAAATAATTTATTTTTAAAATTTTATCTTTTTTCTTTTGTATGATAATTTATAATTATAAAAATATCTATGGCTTATTTTAAACCATAAATTTTTAAATTGTTTTTGCTGAAAGAATTAGGTATCAAATCAAATAACTTCATATAAAATTGAGACGGATGGAAAATACACTTAAAAAGTAAATTCATGCGTTGAGACCTGAGTCCGAAACCGAAATGTGATTCATTTGGACTCAAAATACTTTTTTAGGTGCAAAAAAAGTTACAATTCTATATAAAATGCGGTTATGAACCGTGTTTTACCTTGATGGCCGTTCCGCGTTTTATATAAAACGCGGTAACGAACTGCGCTTTATGTGGTAGCTGAAAAAACAGCTATATAAAGCGCGGTTCATTATCGCGTTTATATAAAATACGGTAACAAATCGCATTTTACCTATATAAGTATCATTCCCTCCCCTTTCCCCCACGTTTCTCGACAGAAGCATCATCCCCCATTTTTAAAACTCCAACAGCGGTCCCCCCTCCCCTATTAAAAAGATTAAAAAAACTCAAGTGGACCCCACCCGTCCCACAAAAACTAATCAAAGTTGGTCCCACATCCTAGTCAAGCCTTCTATTGTTGTGGGTTGCTTGTTTCGGAGTCAAATTTTCAAATCTTCAACTTTTCGGAAAACATAAATCGAGGTATTCCGATTTAGTTTATGTCCAAACTCGTATAAATAATGCATATTAGTTGTTTTGAATGTGTTGTATGTTGTTTTGTGTTTTTTTTTTTTTTTTTGCGACTAAATTGGTATGTTATTTTTATCCGGACTAAAATATTAATGTTGTAAAAAAATATGTAAAAATTGTAAAATCGTCATTATTTGTTAATAAAAATGTTAATAAATTACTGTTATTGTTTTATATGTATTTTTGTGATTACAATGTATTTGTTGTGTTTTATTTGGTTTAAATTATTTATTTGCTTAAAGACTAGTAATATAATGCCTTTTAGGGTAGTAAAATGTAATGCCTTCTAGCGTAGTAAAATGTTGTGCCTTTTAGCGTAGCGTAGTAAAATGTAGTGCCTTTTAGCATAGTTTTCCTGTAGTTTAGGTATCTTTTATACTAAAAAATACGTCAAAATAACTGATAGATCAAACACAAACTCACTCCAATTGTAGTCAACATATATTTGGTGCTACTGGGCTACAAATATAGAGTCTGAAACCCATATATGAATTATCACACCTCCTTTTTTACACCCCGAGGGCATATAAGGGAGTTTTTCCAATTAAAGTGACATTATTCGAAATGAGATTATTTATTTAAGCAGAGTCGCTACGTGGGATAGTTTATTTGGTGTCCCAAGTCACCGGTTTATTTTAAATCCCAAATCGAGGAAATTTCGACTTTCCTTTTGAAGTATGCGAACCAGAAATTCTGAATAAGGAATTCTGTTAACCAGAGGGAAGGTGTTAGGCACCCCCGGATTCCGTGGTTCTAGCACGGTCGCTTAAACTATTATAATTGGCCTATTATCTGATTTGTTGCATATTTTAGCCTATGGTACAATTTTTAACTCATTAACCGCTTTTAATTATTTTAGGAAATTTCAACGTTATTTAAAACACGCCTTGAACCACGCCACATGAAATGCACCGGCGGTCCACGACACACTTTATTTATTGTTGTTGAGAATTGGAGTTGGGTCACATGAAATGCACACCTGAGTTTAAGGAAATTAATTTAAATAGCGCGCCTAAAGCAAATAGCACTTTCAAATTAATGACAAGATTTGCGAGGGTAGTGAAAAATTCAACTAATGGCATACTTCGATTTCGCTAGTATTAATTATATGAAGGCCATGAGCTATGTGATTCAATTGTGTGAATGGCGCGCCTCAATTTCCTTAAAATAGAGATTTGCATTCAACTATAACAATCGAACACAATCGAATTCCACAAATACTAATGTGCTATCTCTTTAACAGTAAATCGAACCAAACTGTGTCTTTTTACATGAGCATCGAACCACAAATACTACATTAGTAGCACTGCTCCAATGCTAAATTAGTACAAAGGAATTCAAAGTTTCATCCATTTCTAAATTAGTACGAATAACAGAACATGAAAATAAGTAACATAAAACTCAACAAATTGAATTAATTTAAGCAAATCTTAAGCACATAGCAAGATAGCAGAACCATTATACATTATCCAAAAGATAACCGAGATTGCTAAACAAATTCAGGTTTCCTTTGAAGCTTTTAAAAGAACGTACATGGATTTCCAAGCAGAGACCAAATGAAGATGCCAAATTCTGAAACCGAGCTGTGAACTACGAACTGAATTAATGAACGGACGATCTCGTCGGACCCGAACTTGAACCGGTGACTGACCTGAACCTCAACCTCAGTTTTCCATTTTCCTACTCTGTTTTTTCTAGCTACTGTGCGTGTGCTACTATTTCTGATGAAGATCGTTGAAGGGTCGCTGTTCGTTCCAACGTTGAAGAAGTAGATGAGGATTCAATTAGGGAGGGGTGTGTGTTTGGGTGTTGCCGCTGCGTTTGGTGTCTAGGGTTCAATCTTCATGAAGAAGAAGAAGGCCTAGTGTTTTGGTACATCTGCTGAAGAGTTATTCTTCAGTCTTCATGAAGAAGATGACACTCAAAGGTTGGGGGGGGGGGGGGTGTCTTTTGAGTATTGCGGCTGCCATTGTCAGACCTTTTTTCCTATAGCTTTTTGCTTTTTCAGTTTTGTATATTTGTGTGCTTTGCTGCAGAAAACGGCAGATTCAATAAGGTTTTTTTTAGATGTCTATATTTATTTAGGGATTAAGTATTATTATATAGGGGTAGAGATTAGATTAGGGGTATGGGCCTAGGAATTATGGGCTGAGTCCAAAATTAGGCCTAAAAATGGGTTGCTCGAGACCAAGTTTATTCTTTCTCCGCGAACGAGACTAAAATACGACTTCATTTATTAATTAGTCCTACTTAAGTAAAATAACTGTTAAAATAAACTATTTTTTGGTATTTTTCAAGGTTAAAAATAACTAACAAAACATTAGTGAAATAATTTTGTAATTTTTATTTTTTGTAATAAAATAAAGTAAAAGAGTAAAAATTAGTTGAAATAACTATATTAAGCCTAGATTAAATATTTACGTGCTAAAATATGAAAAATCTTGGGGAAGGTCAAAACTCACATGTCTACTGCTGCCCCTCTTTGACTAGAAACGCAAAGAGTTTTAAGACAAAGAATGACTAGACAGGTTTTGACCCGATCCTTATTTAGAGAGGCCAAAAGCTAAAAGAAAAGAGAATGTGACCGAGCCCTGGTATCTGAGCTGCCTACATATCCTTGGCTATAAAG